GCGCTCGGGCTCCTCCTCGCCGTTGGACTCGGTCTGCATGGGCTCCCCGTCGAAGTTGACCCCCCTGCGGCCGCCGCCGGCCGCGGCCTCCTGGTCGCGGGCATCGCGCAGGCGGGCGAAGTAGTCGGCGGCGAAGCCGAGGAGGTCGGAGGGCCGGTGCCGCAGCACCTCCACCGTGTAGCCCTGCAGCAGCTCCGTGAGGCCCGGCGGGATCTCGATGCTCATGGCGCCGGGGCTCCCGCCGCGGCCGCGCTGCGGGCTCGGGGCCTCCCTGGCGGCCGCTCGCGCTGCTCCTCTCGCTCCCGCCGCTCCGGTCGCGCCGGCCGCGCCGAGGGGAGCGGGGAGGAGGGCACGCCGCGGACGGGAGGGGAGGGCAGCGCCGCGGCAGCCGCGCTGCGCACGCGCGGCCGCGAGCGCGGGGCCGGCCACTGCGCAGGCGCCGCGGAGCGCGTGCGTCACACTGAGGCGGGGCGCCGGGCGCGAGGGCGGGGTGTGGCGTGTTGCGCAGGCGCGGGCGCCGCTGTGGCGGGAAGCGTGAGGCGATGGCGGGGGGGGGCGGCGGCGCGGCCTCGTGCTGGCGCTTCGAGGTCGCCGCCGTGATTAACGGCCCCGCCAACGTGCAGCTAGTCAGAGGGGTTTTGCACGCTGTCGGCAAATCTGACCTTTAAATCCATGTTTTAAACTATTCCCCAATGAAGCTGGCTGCTATGTGTAGTAACAAGAAAATGCGGGCTGTGGAGGCTGATGGAAATCCTTCTCACTGATCTTCAAAATTTACATGTATTTATAACACGTGGAAGCTTTTTTTACAGCTTTCTTAAGCTTAGTCACTGCATATGTTAACTCCTCACCACTGCCTTCCCCCCGCTTTCCACTAAACCATGGTATTAGTATTACTGTATATTTTCCCAAAGATACAGCAGGAATGGAAGAAGGATATATTCTTTGGTTTTGATTTTGGCCCTCTTCGAACCATCTGACTGCTTGTCAGAATAACTTGGTTAATAAAGACTCTTAAAAATAGCAAATGCCAGAGGGCTCAGTGTATTTGCACCTCACGGTACGACCCTTATAAAGCCCCAGCATCATCATGTGTGAAATGATGTTATTAGTATTGATTTGCTTAATACCGCACACGTGCGAGTGGTAACGTTTTCTGAAATGTGAAGCATTTCATTAATTGCTCGTACGCGAGCTTTGGAGATGTCTCTTCGTATATCAGCGAAAGAGCCTTGCTCAGATTTTTGCTTGCCGTCTTTGTCAAAACCATACACGCTGCACGCTGTTATCTGTTCATTATGTGCAGGGAGCGTTTGGCAGATGCCCAGTGGCAGAAAACTCACTGGATGGCATGGAGCCATCTGCCCTTAGGATTTGAAGTTGTCTTGGAAGAGAACAGGGCTGTGCAAACATGAGGGGAGGAGAGCGGGGATGTTGGCTTGGTAACACTGCTGCGTGTAGTCAGTACAAATATTTTTATTTAATTCTCCCTTTGTTTCAACAATAAAAGGGCAGAAATCGACATGTACTCAAAATACAGTTTTAATTTGCAAGCTCCAAATTGTCTCAGGTAATTTATTTCGTGTTTTGTTTTTGCTTGACCGAAAGGTCCCATCACATACCCAGATGATTCTTGGCAAACTCTGATAAAGAGATAGTCTATTCATCAGTATTGCATGAAGGGCACAACTGAGGATCCCAGAGTACCATATTCTGATTTTTTTTGACTATTTTCAGAGAGAGGGACCAACAGAAGATTCTGTGGCTCCTATTCCACATCCACTGACTCTGTTACAAGATGTTCTTTGTAATATAGCTCTCTTTTTTTAGGTAGGGCAAGATTACTTCTAGTATCCATACAAAATTAACAAATTTTAAAAAGTCACAGGAGGTATATTTGCTTCATCTCATCAATTCACCTGAATATTTATTCTGGAATTCTTTCTATTGTTTTTTACAGCAGACACCAAAACTGCTATATTCCTTATAATAATTAATAATTGTTACTTCTTTTTCATGTATCACCCCTATCTTACTATCTTTCTGATGGTCTCCGAGAATACTAGACAATGCACTGGCTTAATGTGCATGCTTTATCTGATACAAGGAAATGGATTAGATCAGTGAGAAAACCATATTTTGTTAGTTTCCACAAAAACATATTTTAGTTCTCTGATGAGATCTCCTTCCTCTTGCCAGCTGGGTGCCAAAGATGTTACTGGAGGCAAGGTGGGTAAAAATGAAATTTGAAAAATACTGTGAAAATGAAAAAGAGAAAATAGAGAGTTATAAATGTAAAGAGCCAAAAGCTTTGGCTGCTGGGGTTAGGGGCAGAAAGAAAAATGGCAATTCCAAGGAAATACAATTATTTTTTCTCTCCCAGTCTCCTGCATAACTGCCAGCCACCTGACAATTGCCTGCTCTTGGCATCGCTCAGCTCTTGTATCAGCTTTTAACGTTTGTTGATCATTTTCTCTCATTTGTGCCTGTGTATATAAATCTGGCTATTTATATGAAAAAAAAATGTGTTACCAGTAAATATTATTAAGTCTCTAAAGAGCTACATTGTGTTAGCCTGCTGATATTTGTATGTCCACATGTAACTAATCAGCTTCGCAAGAGCATAAACAGTGAAGGTCTGTTTAACTTCTCTGAAGGTCAGCGGACAAAATACAGAGAATCCAAGGTCACATAGAGCACGTTTCCAGGCTATTTTACACTACAGCTTATTGCAATTCTTTGCATGCTTTTTGTTTTGTAATGGTCAGAAGTGATGGCACCTTTATGCAAGAGACTTGTCTGTGATCAAGTTAATTGTAATAGTGCACGCCAGGAAAGTTTTTCCTTCTCCCTGGGTTTGCATTTGGTTTTTAATTGTTATTAAAATAAGCACCCACATTAAAAGAATGCTAGAAAAGAAATTAGGAAATGCACTTGCGGGCTTAATTTTTCCCCCTTTATAGTAATGTCTTTAATTTGCACAGCATGGCCCAACACTTTTTTCTTTTCCTTTTTTCCCTCCGCTGAGTTCGTGGCTTAATCAGCACACATTAGAGAGCACAGAATGTTGTAATTGATGAATCTAGCCTCCAAAATATTTTTTTAGCCTTGTATTTTTCTCTCTCTTTTTTAATAGTATCTGAGAACTATTCCTATATTTGTCTTGTACTCTTGCATTTATGCTCCCAAATACTGAGGCCTTTTCCCCTCGCTCTGCCTGTCCTACCCAGTCCTATGTGACTTTGGATTATAGTTGCTGAAACTATGATGAAGTTTCAGTGTTGCCCCTGCCAGCAGGAGAGGTGAAGTTACAAGTTAAAAATCAGAATAGTCTGTGTAATCTTACACTGGGGAAAAATAATCATATTAACCCTCCTGGCTGGCTCTTAAAAAGTAAAATAAATCCCATTATAACAAGTAATAATTTACTTCTCAATAAAGCTGTCAGCACCAGCCAGAGCTCAGATGCTATATAAACATATGTACATCTTGAATTAATTACACTGGCCTTCAAATTCACTACAAGTAATTCAGCACAAGGATAATGTGAGAACACACTAAATATTCTGATGGTTGATATTAGGAAACAACCTCCTGTCTGAGGGAAGTTGGGTTTGTTGATACGAGTACAGCTCTTGCATGTTGTCATAGGTGACACCCTAGCAAGCCCTTTAAAACCAGTATATTCCAAAGCAGTCCTCAATAAAAGTCAGGTTTAGGGCCTTCTATTAATAAAGTGATAGCCCTGGCCTTGGTCGGCTGAACTGTGGAATTTATTCCTTTGGGATGCTGTTGAAGCAAAAAGGATGAATTCATGAGAAACAAATTCAGCAGTGCCTTTGGGATTCAGATGTTGGCAGAGGGGGCAGGATTTAAATCATTTGCTAGTTCCAAATAGAAGGAAATTTGGTCTAGAGTTTTCCTGTTTCTTATACTGTCTTTTTGAGCATCTACTACTGACCCCCCTTGGGACAGATCGTTAGGCTTAACTTGGTCTGACCCACTTAACTTTCACTGTGGTTTTACACACCAGAAAAACAACGTAATCTGAGTTGTTTTCAGTCTGTTTTATTGGGAGCTCTGTTTTGTTTGTCACTGTTCATCACAGTGAACTGAAGCTGTACAGTCTTGATTTGAAGACATCAAGTGAAAAAAATTCTGCTTCCCTCAGTATGTTTCTCCAATGATTAATTGCTGTCAACATTAAAAAATGTCACTTTTTACCTGAAATTTTGTATCTTTAACTTTCAGACATTGTTTTTATGCTCTTTTTTCACCTGCTGCTTTTTCCTGTCACTAAAAATGTGCAGACAAAACTTCTGAATTTTCATTATATCAGAAGATCTATTATCAAAAGAAAGAATGATCCTTGATGTAGCTACCGGGGTGCCAAGATCCTTCAATACAATGCACTAGATAAAACACCTTCTCCTGCTTCTGTTTGTTTTTATTCTCAGGCAAATACTAAATGTAAGAGATCAGAGCTTTGATATCCTAATGAGTCAGTTTGCTTGTAGCAGTAAGCGAGTTTCGGAGTATGTGCTTTTCTTGTTAGCTTTAATGTGAGTAAAACAAGCACCATATCTGAATAAATGATAGGAGTACAAACAGGAGGAGAAAAAAATAGCCTTTTGAATAATGTATGTAATTACTGGTTTCAGCTGAACTATATCACTGTCACTAACTTTAGTTAAATTTTCGTAATTCCTGTGAAGATCCTTCTCTGCATTCACTGATAAATCTCAAAGTTTCATTCCAGGAGAAACATAATTAAATTTATGAATAGAGGTAACTGGTTTTGTCAGTGACACAGTTTTTCAGGCACTCGTGAATTTTAACATACCTGATTTCCTAAAACATTTGTTCGATTTGTTACATAGTTTTAAAAACAAACTCCTTTCTATGATTCTATGATCTTTAAGTTTTACCTCAGTCTTGTCTTAATTAGGGCACAAAAATGCCAGATGTGTAAGTCTAGATAAAAGCACTTTCTGTGATATAAGATATGTGGATAGACCATGTTGTTATCTGAGTAAGACTACTCAGCAGATATAAAATTCATGCATTCCATGTCAGGGAAACTGTAAGCAAATGCACTCCAATGTACAAGCAGGAAATAAATAAGAAATAAGTTAGTATTGAATTCTGGACAGAGGGAGCTTGTGGAAATAGATCTGCATGTGCTATAGTAGCCATTCACTCACACTCAGTTTAACCTTAGCCTT